TGGGTTAAGTTTTCAACCATCAAAACCTCACAGTCAGTAAAATATCCTCTGCAAAAAACACACACAGTTTTAGAGCGGGGGCAGGGGGACACCCTGAACAGGTCGCCAGTCTATCACAGGGCTACACTTAGAGACAGACAATCAAGCACATCACTCACATTCACACCTACAGACAATTCATAATCAATAATTAACCTCAATATGTTTTTGGACCTCGTCGGAGGAAGCTGGAGAACCTGGAGAGAACCAACGGGGAGGACATGCAAACTCCACGCAGAAAGATCCCGGGTGTCCTCACCGGGACGTGAACCGGCGACCTTCTTGTTGCAAATCAACAGTGCTAACCACCGCGTCACTTTGCAGCCCTACATGAAAACACAGTCATTTATTTTTCTGTCCTCCAGTTGGACAAAAATGTGGCGTCCTCCACTTCCATGGAGCAGTTTGATTTTGGTGGAATAGCATCAATCAGCTGATTATCATCAAACATGTGCATCATCACCACAAGCTATTGTCCAAGCTATTAATAATAAGATGAATGCTGATTCAAGTGACATAAGGTCATAGCTGTTACGGAATAGAAATACCTCCTATAGAGGCTAAATGTACTTACCAAATTTGAAAACTAACTCACTAAACTAACTACATTCAAATGGAAAGCAGCAAATATGGCGCATTATATGACACAAAGGGAGTGATTTCAATTTTTGACAGTTTTTATTACCAAGTTGTAAGAAGAGAGCGGACATTGAATAAAGCCAGGAACATGGGAACAATTTGTAACGAAGGTCACTGACTGGACTTGGACAGAAATGCAGCATTTCGCAATCGATGCTTTTGCTCCCACAAAGTAAAACACAGCAACATATGAATCACAATCTAACAGTTGGTCGATGATATTTATTTCCAGATCACAGACACACAGTTACTACTAGAGTATATCTGTTCATGCATGTAGGATGTTGTGGGGAATAGTGAATGCAGGAGCCACGAATCACATGAAATATAAAGTGAATGAGTTTATATTACTGATAATATTTTGACATGGTTAATATTAATGTTAAGTATTGATAGATTTTATTATGGTTGGTTATTTGTATAATTCTGATTATTTATTGGGAGCTGGTCACATGGTATAGGGGTGTGAGGTTTATTTAGGTACCTGCTCACCTGCACGTATGCAGTTGATGAAGGAGAGGGTGAGTGGGATGCCGTATTTTTTGTTGACCGCAAGCTTGATCGTGTGAGATTCATTTCGTTATATTTTGTGTATGTTATATTAAGTTGACCTTTTTTTGTTTTTAAACTTTTGAAACGTATTTTGAATCTCAGCAAATCTTTTGCACAGCGTGTCGGACAAAGAGCTCGGCCCAACTTCATCCTCTAAGCGCTCTTTAGTTTGTTTTTTATGAAGTCGCTACAGTGAAGATTAAAACCAAGTTTTCTTAAACTGCAAAGATCAACTTTCCTGTTCGTAAAGAATTTGAAGGTTGGCAAATGCGACAAGTATCAAACATTCACATCAAATTTAGGAAACCACACATTCTGTTTTTTTGCTTATTTATTGAAAGAACTGTCATCACTTCAACAGATTAGTTTTCTATAAAGGCTTAACAAAGCCACTGTTTCAATTCCAAGTTAGTTAAGTGCTGCATCAAAGATGAAATAAAGGCATTTATATGTTTGTGCACTGGTCATAACTTTGAAATAAAATTGGTTTAAAAGTTTCTGTCAAAACTGTTTGAGTGTAGTATTTCTGAAACAAAAGCGCTTCACTTCCTCTGGTTCCAGCTGTGCTTGGAGCCCCACAACTGTCACCTGTGACTGTATGTATAGTTTGGTAGAAAAGAAAGTACATCCCATGGAAATATCCAGATTTGGTTCCAGGTCAGGTGCCAACAATTAGAACCTTTTTAAGAAGTGCCATTAGGAACCTGTCCTATTCAAACCTCTGACATCTGACATCAAGCTACATATTTGGTGCAGACCAAGGACTACACCAACATCACGCAAAGTGGTGGCAATGTTTTGGTTTGGATTTGCTTTGCTGTGTCAAGGACTGGGTAGCTTGCAGTCATTGTTTTAACAATGAATTCTGCACATTCAAATTGAGTGCTTAAAGATAATATGAGGCCATCTGTCTGAAGGTTAAAGTTGGAGGTGAAAGTGAATTCAAGCGTTTTCTTGTACAAATTTGAAGAGAAAGGCATGAAAGATGAATACATGCAGTTCAATGAAGTCAGAGGTTCATCCTATTGTCCAACTGAGAAACACATTTGTCATGTACTAATATGAGAAGAGCTACAGCAGTGCCATTGAGAGTTTTCTGCTTCGTCCTTTGAAGCTGATGCTGAATATGTCACTTTGATTAGGAATTCAATAAAGTTGTTGTCTTGATAGAGTTTGATATCCTTTCTGTAGCCAAACTGTTCTAAACGAGTGCCACCACTTCATATATATCTATATAAATTAATATTTAATAATGGCCAACACAATACATTTCTTTCAATTCAATTCAATTCAATTCAATTCAAATATCACTACTAGTAGGTTTGGTCATCACATGTTGTGGTCGTCAGTGTTCAGGCAGTGGAAGAAATGCCAAGAGAAGAATGAACTCATGTCGTCAAATCGCCTCTGATCCATTCAACCACCATTTTGGCAACATCTCGTCCTGCATCCAGGACAAAGGCATGGCGGAAGCCATTTTCACACAGTCGGAAATCTCCATGTGGGAAGTCCTGCTTGATGTCATGATAGTACTGTACAGGGCACCAGTGATCTGTAGCTCCATAATAAAATATGAGCTGAAATCATGGACACACAGAGTTTACTGCTAGAGTGATTTATAGGTTTATACACAGCTAAAGAACATGGCACAAGGAAACCATTAACTGATAATTCAAGCAAGCATGTGGTCTGTGTGTCTTGTGTATTATTTTTTGTGTATTTAAACATTGACTTGTAGCTGGAAGCTAGCAATAAACTACAAGTTAGCACAGAGAAAGAGTACAATGTGATCATACAGGTTGGCATTTTCTCACCTTGTCAAGATTTTTCTTGATAGTTGTGTTGTCTCGTTCCAGAACTTTCCTCATCTCCTGGCCCCCCATGTACATGGCATTAGCTACATGCAGAAACAAAAATCACACTGGTTTATTCTTTGCTATGTTACAGAAATATTAAAGGTTCTACATTTAAGATTTTAAACATTGATAAAGCAGCAAACAGCCATCTGCTATGTAAAGATATAGTGGAGTAGTGGCGTCCTCAGCACAGAATAAAGTCACACTCCCTGTACGTGTGTTGAAATCTGAGCTTCTTTGTTCTATGTTTTGGCTGTCAGTCTTGCCGCATGTGCACGTTAGTGGATGTTAGTGCACGTGAGTCCATCCCATTTAAACTGTTGGCTCCCCCCACCTTTATAAACAGACTGTGAGTGACATCCCACACTGCAATGTAAAGCAAAGGTACAAAGCAGAGTGTTCAACTGGTGCCCCCAAACCAAAGACTTTGGTAAATCTAAGCATTTTATTTAACTAATGGATATGCACTTGTTTCATTCAAAGTTTCTACTGCCTTTTTTCTTTTGTTCTCCTCTGCTCCTCCTTTGCTCTGCTATATTCTCTTCCACTCCATTCTGCAGAGTGTAATAGAATCACTGTGAAGCAGACAAGGAAGTTTTTCTCAGATTGAGTTAAACAGTTGTACTATAAAATAGATGTTTTCACTCACTGCATTATCATTTTAGTTTTGAACCTATGGAACATGTATGAATGTCTGTTTTAGCATCAGTCCAGGAGGTGACTCCATAATAAGCTGCTGTCTTAGTATATCAGTTTTTCTTTGCATATTTAAACTGTGGTCACAATGTCCACGGAAGGTCTTTTTCTTTTTCTTTTTTTTTTTTAAATCTAAATCTGGCTGCTTGTGTCATCTCCCGTTTCGTTACTGTTTCTTTCAACACCACAGCTAAATATCATCTGACACCTGAACACTGTTCAACTGTACAATATGAAATAATTTGAGTATTTCATCGGTCACATCATATGCCTGGAATTCATGCTGTTTTAAAATAACGTATAGCTGACACTGTCACTTACGCTATCCTTAACAACAGAGGTGATACAGCACATTCTCAACACAGAGTAAAACATTACAATCACCACAGAGAGTAAAGCAGACAACATAACCAACCTGCACTGTCTCCACTGAGTAAACCAACAGTAGGCTGGATGACAGAGTGGTCCAGAGAGGAGATACGACTAAACACCAGTTTGATCAGACTGGCTTTGATGCTGTCGGGCAGCAGAGAGAGCAGGAACAGAGGCAGATAGGCCATGTAACGCATTTGACACAGCACAGGGGTCATGACCTTGCCCTGAGGAGTCTGAGCCATGCGCTCGATGGTGGGAAACAACATGACAGCCTTCAGTACCTGGATTCAGAAACAAAGAAGTAGTTTCAGCATTTCATGAATGAACAAGAAATAATAATAATAAAAATCTTTCAGAAAACAGACAAAGAAGGTCAAAGATTCACGTTCAAGTTGAAAATGATGGAAACCTTCTGAATGTCATTTAATCTGCTTCCTTCATTCATTATTTAAAGCAGCAGACAAGACAACAGGTAGTTATGATAACATGGTGAGTTTCTCAACTTACAAGCAGATGATAACTGTTTCAAATTTCTTTTAGCTGAAAAAATAAGAATCTGATTTGTTTCTGTAAAGACTTGGTTGTTTTTTGTTTGTTTGCATTGACTATGAAGGCATCAGTGAGTCTCTTTAAGCATGCAGCGGAGAAGAACCACTAAGTTTAAATGCGCTAATCAGCCTGTGTTTGCACAGTGTAACTGGTAGCACCAATATTTCAGCAGCAACACACACCAGCTGAGTGTTTACGCAAGCCCTGTCTGACTGAGTGTTGGCTGTTTGTGGCCTCAACGAGACGTCAGGTCTGTGTGGCACCAGACAATGTGGTGAACACGATGAACAAGTAGACCACGCTGCAGTGCTTTAGACACAAGCTGCATCTCACAGTTACAGATCCCTAAATGAAAAGTACTTTCTTAGTTATATTTTATAAATTATTTGGAAACTCTTTTGTGATACAAATTGTCATACCTGGTCAATCTGGCCCCAAAAGTCATGAAAACAAAATTAAAAAAACAAAATAAAATAAATGCTTTAAAAATATCAATACTTGACTTCTTTACGAAATCATTCTAACAAATGCTCTTTTGCACTTTTAACAGAGTATTTATTTTATTGCTATTTTATTATTTATATCACCTTTTAACTTTTTTTCTTAAGACTGTGACCATATTAGCTGCTACAAAGATGATGCCAAATGAAATTTCATTGTTTTTTTTGTACAATGACAATAAAGCTTCTTGTTCTTCTTCTTTTCATTATGCATTATCTTTTTTTTTTTCATTAATGTGTGCTCAAAGATGGACCACATTGTCTGTCTGTTTCATATTTCTGTTTCATTATATTTGTGATTGGATCGACATGGCCAATATTCTCAGTCAATGGCACTGTGAGAGATGACTGAAAATTTCAGGCTTTTAACTTTCCTAAGATAGTGTCATCCAAAGTCTAGCCCAAATATTAATGCCTGAAAAAAATTGTTGAAAATGGGTCCATGGTCAATTAAAAAAAAAAGTAATCAAAAAATCTATATAGATGGTATGACCTGTTTATTTTTGGCAAATTTTATATGAAATGTAAATAAAAAAAATGTTTAAAAAATTGATGAAATGATGCAATTTTAAGTTTAGATTTGGTAATGTTTTCTAACAGAACTGCACACCCACACGAGGCTCCAAGTCTGTGGGAAAGTAGAAAATCCATTCTTTCTGTTTTTGCTGTTTCTGGTTCTAATAAATGGTGGAACTTTGGTGACTTCTTTCAAAACAGCACGCTTTTAAGCCCATTGGCAAATTGTGAGGTTCAGAGACTCTAAACCCAACAAGTTTATTTTGAGTTGTGAGACTAAACAAGTAGAAAATTGCTCACACATCTGACCTTGCTACAACTATTATTGATATTTTGTTTGATATACACAATAAAAGTTTCAAAAATTTAGGTAAGCTGTCCAAACTTTTGCAACAGTAAATGCTTGAAAATGTAATGTGCTTCTTCAAAAATTGACAATAACTAACCTTAAGTTCAGGATTTCTCTTCATCATCTCCAGAATAATGTAGCAACCGATGGAGTGTCCCACCAGGACCAGGCTGGTTTCTCTGGGAACGTGTTTCCTGAGGAAGGCCAGCTTGTGTTCAATCTGCCCATTCAGACCAAACACATCATCGTCTTCTGCTGACGAGGTATCTGCATCAGACAAGTAAACTATTAAAACTTGTAGTGTCTGAAACTTATCTCCGTTGTTAGTGTACTGTAAAATGCAAAGAACCTCGTTTTCAAGGTTCTCTGTTGGGAAGATATGGAACACCAGTTTCTGTGTATGTTGTAGGTGTCCATGTCCAGCAAGCCAGAGTATATAATTACAAACACAGTGATTTTCCAAATATATGTCAAGTGTGGTGAACATTTTATTTTCGGCAAACCAGCAAGATTATTCATGGTCTCTCTTTGAATGTACTCCAACCAGTGTAGGAAGTGTAAAGAACCTGAGAAGAATGCGTACCGTCTACCATGTCCATGGAGGCTGGTGGTACACAGTGGCCAGCATGGCTTACAGCCCACACTGGGTGTCGGTATCCAAACGTACTGTGAAGTGTTTGCATGAAGGTTTTGTAGAAGCCCACTACACCTGGGTTGCCTGTCAGGAAGATAACAAGAGATCTGCGTATTTCTGTGCAGGAAATGAAGTGTGGAAAGTGCAATTTCACTCACAATGTTTGAATTCTTAAACAAAAACAAAACTCAACAAGCAAGTTCTTCTAAGCTAATTTCTAAGCTTTTATGATACAGTCTTTAATCTCACTTAGAAAACACCCTCTCTATGCCTTAAATATTAATGTTAGCTTTTGAAAATGTTAAACACAGTAGAGATCAACATTAACTACAGCTGAATCGAGACATTTCTATCAATGACAGTAAACCCTTGTATCTAACTGTTTATTATGTGATATAAAGTGAGCCTATTTTACATTGTGACAAAAAAAACATAATTTAAATGTGGCTTGGAAGTAACTTTTAAATATTTCTGCATAAAAATAGTCAAACTTGAGCTGCTATTCCAGTGGTCCACTTCTGACAAGACCAGACCCTACAGCTGAATCTGTCACCAGACCATGGGCAAAGGTTTGCTGTTTTTCCACCACCCTTTGTACATCATGTATGTACCAACCTGTACTTGTAGGCGATGGTTGTGCTACACAGCTCTACAGTTTATGTGTTTTAGTTAGTCTGTGGGGATTTTATTTAGACACAAGCACCACACAAGGCCCATTAAAAGACAACAGGAGAAAATGAAGTACCTGTCTTTTGCACGATTATACTTAAGTTTCTGGATTTCAGAATTCAAAGTATTACAGGAATATTAGAGACGATTACCTGGAATGATGAGAAAGAGCACCTTGTGTCCAGAGTGTAGCCGACAGCAGCCAAATTTAAGGACCTCTGTGATGGCTCCGCTACAGTAGATAAAGTCTGTCTGTGGTTCATCCCTGCTGTCTGTCGCCATGTTGTCCATCTCAGCAGCTTGGAGAAAAGAAGAGACATAACAACACCGACCACAAGTTTATCATTTCACTTATGGTGTCACTCTGAGCTTCCTTAATCCAATAAGTCACACGCTAAAAACAGAAAGTTCCACAAGAGTATTACAGTAAGGGTGTATTGCAGTAATGGTGTATTGTGGTGACAGTGTACTGCAGTCACAGTATATTCCAGGAACTTTTATAACAGTAACATGTATTGCAGTCACGGTGTATTACAGTTTAGTTTAGTTTGGTTTATTAAGATCCCCATTAGCTGCAGCACACCCACAGCTATTCTTCCTGGGGTCAAACAGAATTATATATAAAAGAAAACAGAAAACAAAAAAAATTATAAAAACAAAACAAAACCCAAGTGAGCTTTACACGTCCTCACATCTTGATATACACATTATGAGCAACTATGTCATATAACCTTGTGCATCATCCTTTCATTATCATATCGTATTTTCTGTATATATGTACATATATTTCAATCATACATACTATACATGTCATATATACACTGAACAAAACTATAAACACCCCATATCAAATATTGTTGCCACGTGGAGTTAACAACTGTAAATGAGCAATTGCTGACATTTTATTGTACAAAAGTAATATTTCTCTTGATCTGGGTATAATTTTTAATCCAACTTGCCGTCAGTGAGCATTACTCAGTGAGTTGTTTTTTTAACTCAGTGCATGGATGGGGCATGTCCAGCGGGTGATCAGACAAAATGAGCAACAGCTGGACAATGCTTGGACTGGGGACAATAAAAGGCCACAAGTCATAATGCCTCAGATGTCGCAAGTTATGCAGGAGCGTGCCATTGGCATGTTGGATGCAGGGATGTCCACCAGAGCAGTAGCTGCACGGCTCAATGTCCATTATCGGACCATAGGCCATTTAAGAGTTTGTTTCCAACAGACTGGCACTACTGCAAATCGACCTCATCCTCGTCAGCCACGTGTGACCACTCCGGCACAAGATCACCACATCCAGCTCGTCCATCTGCGGGATCGGCTAAGACCAGCGACACACACAGCTGATGAGACTACTGGTCTGCACAACAGACGCATCACACCTCAGACTGTCCATATCCGCCTACGAGAAGCCAACTTGTATGCTCGACGCCCTCACCGTCGTCTGGATCTCACTGCTGTCTGGTGTAGGAACTGACTCACATGGGTGAATACACATGTCCGATGGCCCTTGGCACACTGGAGAAGAGTGATGTTCACGGATGAATCCAGGTTCCAGTTGTATCGTGCAGATGGATGACAGTGTGTCTGGCGACGTGTGAGTGAACGGTTTGCAGATGCAAATGTTATGCCCAGGGTTGCACATGGAGGTGGTGGCATTATGGTGTGGTCAGGCATCACATACGGGCATAGAACACCATTGCACTTCATTGAAGGGAACCTTAATGCACGAAGATATCAGGACGAGATTCTCACCCCAATTGTCGTGCCATTTGTGCGCCAGGCCAGCAAGACATCACCTTTCAACATGACAATGCCCGACCTCATGTTGCCCGCATCTGCATGGAATTCCTTCAAACAGAGGATATTGAAGTTCTGGACTGGCCTGCACATTCACCAGACATGTCCCCAATGGAGCATCTTTGGAATGTTCTGGATAGGCATGTCCAGGACCGTGTTCCAGTTCCAGGCAATGTGGGTCAGCTCCGTGTGGCACTCCAGGAGGAATGGAATAACATTCCACAGGCCACCATAGACAATCAGATCAACTCCATGCGAAGAAGATGTGTTGCTCTGAGAGACGCAGCTGGCGGACACGCAAAATAGTGAAAAATCAAATTCCTGACCCCTATCATGTTCAAAGGACTGTCAACCCGCTACAAATGGCCATACCACGATGTTATCAATGCCGATATGAAGATCAGTAATTACTGAAA